CATTGTACAGCAGAGCTAGATTTAATAGATGGGCCTCAGAGTCCGGAGGAATGTCCAAATTGTGTGCACGAGTGGCTCCTGGTTGGATCCAACTAATACTGTAGCCTTACCTCAATTATGAAATGATGAAATGAACCCCACATTCATTTTTACTACTCACCTGTGTACTACTGGTTCTTGAGATAGAGATAGTATTTATTTATTCAGTTTCTTATGCTACCTCTTTTCCTTTTTTTTTTTCCTTTAATTGTAAGAAAATGAAAAAATAATAGTCAAAAGTTTAATTTTATGTGTTTAGTATCTACATTTCCCTTAAGTAACTGTATGTGAATTATATAAAAGATAAAAAATGAAGTAGAAGGAGTAAGCTATCATTAATATATGCAATTAAAAATGGTGAGAGATAATAATAAAAAATTGAAAAAAAAAATATGATTGATGCTACAATGAGAATGAAATGTAACCCATAAAAAAGTGCATAGTTTGAATACAATCTGCTCTAATCCAACAAATAATAAAAAATAAAATTGAAAGTAATTAAAGAGAGTCTTATAAAAGTTATTAAATAACGCTAAAATTCAATTTCATAAATGCATGTCGTGGTTCGACGGTCCACTTCCTAATCAATATTCTTCGTAGACCGTTACGCTGTGTTTCATATATAGTGGTCTCGGAGCAATAAGCAATCCTCCCAGCCGACGCCATCGCAGATTGCTTGCGAAATGAAATGCCCATGAACATGAATGAAAAAGACCACCCAAACCCAAGTCAAAGAGTCAACAATATGCCAGGTTGGCATTCATGAACGAACAACACCAAAGCTATATCCATAATCAAACTCATCCATTTTTTTGTTATCTTGCATTATTTGTTACCTCATAATTATTTGATCCATACACTGCTCTTTCCGTCAAGAAATGATTGTTCAGTTTAGTGTCTATTTAGTACAAATTATGTTAAACATCAAAATTTTAAATTGGACATCAATAGTTTAAGACTATTTTCATTAATTCACATGTGCTAGTACCTGATTGCAAATATAAAGGGAACACAGTGAGATCAATGTAGTATCATTTGCTTCACAAAGCCAACAATACCACAGACTGATCTCAGTGTGCATACAGGTTTCCTTAACTGATGATTATATATTATATGATGCTCTGTATATATGTGTGTGAATTAATCTAATTAGTTAGAAGATCCCTATCAACGAGAGACAGAAACAATTAATCAAATCAACCTCAAAAATTATAGATATAGTACAATCGAATCACCAGATGAATAAACCCAACTGATGAGGTACTATGATCCAATGGACTTGGATCGGGAACCTGCATCGATCGCCAGCTGTGTGTAATAATCCCAGTACCTATAATGTTAATGGCGTACTATATCTCTCTCACTGAAATTCCCTTTGTTTTGCGTGGCCAAGGAGACGCCATCAATCACAACTTCACAATCATTTCTACGTACCCTTTTTAATCGTGTTATAGTTTGATTAACTACTTTTGCTTGCACTTCCAAACACTACTCTTCTTATGATCCATCAAAGTTAATACTCCTGCCAGTTTACAACTACAACCAATGTTTGCAGGATCACAATTCTACGTAAGATCGAAATGGGGTCATAGGATCGGATCGTAAACAGAATCGGTAGGATCGAAATAATAGGATCGTAAAATTAATTATACATGTTATATAATTAATTACTTTAATAATTAAGTTTCAATTATCTTTAAATAAAATATTTAACATTTAAACGAAAAGAATTGTGTAAATTTAATTTTCGTATGTGAATTTTTTCATAATTTTTTAATGAAAACTCTTCTCTTATAGTTATTTTTTTCATTTTAGAAAAACTTTCTAAAATACATTTTTTTTAGCAATAAAAGTTTCCTCAATGAATATTAACCTCAATTGAATGTAGACCAAAAGAAATAAGAGAAAAGAAAAATTTCAATAAGCTCAATTATTTTTTTGTAATTAATGAATAGTAAATTCGAACCGATCCTACGATCCTAACCGATCTTGACCGATCCCACTAAAAAGTTCGAGTTTAATCGATCTGGGATCGATTTAGGTACCTGAGATCGTAGGATCGGACAATCTTATGATCCAGAATCGCGAGTTTGCAAATTATAATTACAACCCCACTTGTATGTCATTCCTCGTTTTCAATTATTCAGTAATTTACGCCTTATTATAATTAAAACACAGTCTCCCATTGTATAATAAAAATTTCATGCCAGAAAATGCAAATTCTCGTGATTAATTGTGGCAATCTTTAAACCCACCAAAAGGAAAAACAATGAAAAAGAAACAAAAATGAGTACAAATAAATAAGAAAACAATGGGTCACCAAACACCAAGAGATAATGACATTTCGAATTAATTCTCCAAAACTGCTAGGTTAGATGCTTGATTGATATCAGCAGTCGAAGGATTTAATGTCCATTTTAGTAGGGGCAAGTTCATGAAAACCCCATTCCCCACCTAAAACTCTCATCTATATCCCCAAAATTTTGCTGTTAGTTACTACATTATTTTACTCTCCTATTATGGAATTATGATCCTTAAAAAAAAAAAAACCATAATGGAATCCTTGTTTCCTGCCTCCCTTCAGGATCTTTCTTCTTTTTGAATGGGAGAAAAGACATAAAAATCAAAATACCATGTCCTGATGAAAATAAAAGGGTCGGGATGCTCTTAATCTTGGAATCTCCAGATTTGTATATAACTCTACCATGTTACGTACAATTTATATATATCCACATAGTGAACACAGTCATTTCTAGTGAGAATTAAACCATAAATCAAAAGGGAATTATTCTCTACAAAACTCTCTTCCTAGAACTAGGTACGCAGTATATTCTAAGGACCCAAAGTTGAAATTATAACAAATGTACATAAAGAAAAATCAAGGTTGGAGAATCAAGAGCCCAAACCTTGATCTTGAAATCTACAATACGTAGTAGTTTAAGCAAAACCCAAAATGAAGGACATATTAAATTCCAATAAAACTTATATAAGAATATATATATATATATAGGTACGCAGTATATTCTAAGGACCCAAAGTTGAAATTATAACAAATGTACATAAAGAAAAATCAAGGTTGGAGAATCAAGAGCCCAAACCTTGATCTTGAAATCTACAATACGTAGTAGTTTAAGCAAAACCCAAAATGAAGGACATATTAAATTCCAATAAAACTTATATAAGAATATATATATATATATATATATATATATATATGTGTGTGTGGGTGTGTATGTGTGTGTGCGCAGGAGCGGCTGAACGTTTCGAGAGTCTAAAGAGAATTTTTTTGTTGGGGCCTTTTAAAAGAAAAAACTAAAAAAAATAGTTCTCTTCATTTATTTACGTTTAAAAGAAAAGGGTTTTTTTTTTATATAAAAAAAGATTAAGTTTATCTTTTAAGCTTTTTTCTCTTTTAAAATTGTTTATACTAAGTTAAGTTTTCACTTTTTTGAATAAATTCTTTTGATGAAACTTTCATAATATAATTGATAGCTTTCATACTTTCTGAAAAAAAGTCGTTTTATTGATTTAATAGTTTGAAAAATTAAGAGTTTATTGTTAGATTTTTGAAGATTGATATTGACATTTGACCATATTTAGATATGTAGAGTTGAAAATAGAAATTAAAATTTTTATTTTTCTTTTTCTTTTGAAAGCAAGTATTGGTTTCTTTTGATTATTTTTCTAATATACATGTATCTAATATTATTTTTTGAAGAATATATATAATATTATTAACCATTATTAAAATTTTGGGACCCTTCTCAACTCGCGGGTCTAAAGCAATTGCTTCACTTGCTTCACTTGCTTTATGGAAGAGCCACCTCTGTATGTGTAGTATGTGGTCTTAACTTTGTATATTGGTAACTTTATGATGTACGTATTGTCGTTTTACTCTATTTACTTTGATTGAAAAGGACTTGTTTGGCTTTCACCGCCGAATTCAGAAAACCTCAACTACTATATATATATGTGCCCGGTAGATACTTTTGACAGTAAGGAAGCGATGCATGTGAAGACGAACTATCTATGGGGACGGATCTCCAAGAAAAAATGAATGATAAAAATTATTGAACTCCATTGGTTGGTTAATTTTTTTTTTTTCATTTTCGATATATATTAAACTCTAAGGTGGCATGTATGGTTTATTACCCCATATGGACTTTGGACAATCCGTTGCCAATGCTAATTCCACGTATTGTCTCGTTAACTAGTCTAATTAACTTATAAGTATGTGCACTTATATATAGTTATATTACATTCATTCATGTATTTTACAAGTCAATTGTTATCACCGTTTCTATAGTGAATGGACAAATGTCATAGTGTAAGATTATTAATTATTATTACTACTACTTATTAGACCAACCCCATTAATTAATTATTATATCAACACCAACTTAAAAGGGAAGGGGGGAATCTTCCTAAAAAGTATGCCAAGTATTCCTACTCTACAAAAGTAATACACAGTCTTGATTATTCAGGTATCATATTGATCGTATCGATAAACTTTTGTTATATCAATGATGTATTCTCTCCGTCTGAAATGATTGTCTAATTTGAGTTTTTATTTTTAATTCACTATGTAAATTAAAAATCTAAATTGAAAAATAATTTTAGGACAGTGGAGAGAAGATTATCATTACTTATGTTTACTCTTAATCAAACTATAAGCTAAGTATGCACAAGTAACAAATTATGGGCTTTGATAATTATGCAGTTTCCTATGAGAACAATTCAAACCCGAGGATTCAACTAGTTGTCCTGTTTTTTGGGTTTGAATCTTGGTTTGGTAATTTGTAATTTAGCTTAAGTTTAAGACGCATCTTGATTGTTATAAAGCAATGTTGAAAAACAAAAGGAAGACAAAAACTACAAGACGCCCTGCATAGTACCATGCGATTATCACATCAACCACAGGTATGAATTCATAACACAGTAATTAATTGAAGGAATAAGTCGCTATTTTTATTATTTAAATAAAACTATAAAAGTGCCCGGTCCACCTCCAATTATTATGGTCTTTCCTCAAACACTATAAATACGCACATCAAGAACGTTCAACTCCTCCATCCATACGAAGCCTCTGAACTCCAAACAAATTAATTAGTTCATTCATTCACACTAATAATCTCTTGATTCCCCGGAAAATTAAATTATTGTAGCAATGAAGCACATGAAAGGGGAGGAAGAAGTGATGACATCACAGAACAAGAAAAACAAAGCCGTGGTGGATGGGCTTTACAGGGCAATATCAAGAGGAGACACCGGCGCCGCGGCCGGTTACCTTGCCAGCGACCTGGAATGGTGGTTCCATGGCCCACAAAACTGCCACCACATGATGAAAATGCTGACGGGGCAGGCATCCGGAGGAGGAGCTTCTTTCCGGTTCAACCCGCGGAGCGTCGACGCCATTGATGATGAGCTTGTGATCGTGGAAGGTTGGGAAGGGGTGCATGCGTATTGGGTTCACGTTTGGAAGGTTAACCAAGACGGGTTGATTACTCAGTTCCGGGAGTACTTTAATACGTGGCTCACGGTGGCGGATTTGAGAAAACGGCCTTCCATTCCGCTGAAAATGGCGGCCGCCGGTTGCTCCTCCGCAACCTCCTCCACTTTGTGGCAGAGCCACCCTCGGGACCTCGCCAAACGCTCCTTGCCGGGTCTCATGCTCGCCATCTGAGGATCGGCCGCAGTTAATATTATATTACCACGTGTGTAAATTCTTCATTAAATTAATTAATGTTTTTTTTACCTTATATTATAATGTTGTCATAATTTACGTAGATAGAATTTCTTCGTTAGGCACCACCACTCTTAATTGGACCTGTTTGATTAATGTTTGGACATTCCATCATGCTTGTTTATGATTGTGACAATTCCCAAATCAATAGAATGTGGAGTTATGGGTGCTGCATGATTTAAAAGTTCATTCATCAAATTGGGTTAGAATGTGCAGATCTGCAACAATTAGAAACGCTGATAGTTATACAGATGCAGAACAATACCGTTAAAGCGCTTCCAACTTATTTCGAGTCTAAGTTCCATTGAAATATTAAAATCAATATACACAAATTAATATTAAATTTAGTTCCAAATGTATGCTTTAATTATTACGAGGACTGGAAGAAGTATTATTAAATATTCTATGTCTTAAAATATAAGTTTTTTTTTTTTTCCTTTCAAAACATATAAACTTGGGAACTAACAACAAAGACATGTCACTATCCCAAAGGACAGACAAGCAGCTTTAGTTATAATCACAAATGCTTGCATAAAAAATTGAAGTGTCAAAGCCCTGTTTCATTTGCAGATGATCTTGAAAAAAAGGACTCCTGTCTTGGTTGAAACTTGAAAGTGAAACTCTTCAACGTAAACGGGGAGGAATAAATTAAACTAATGCCACGTTAACATTTTTACAAGTCATTCCGTTCCAAGATGTTACTTGGTAAATGAATTAGCTAAAAATGGAACCTATGGTACCCACAACTACTATTCTCTCAAATCCCAATCTCATCATTTTAATACAATTATTAATACTAAAATATATTTGAAATTTTCATATTTTCTTAAACATCTGTTGTAAATGAAGAGGATATTTTTTTAGGATTGAATATTTAAAGTATTATTCATTTCATCTCAAAATAAGTGTCGAATTTGAAGTTTCATACATAATTCAAATTGTATTAAATGTAAAAATTTAGGCCGAACAACATGTGTGAAACCACTAGATCGCAACTTGTAAAGGGGTAGCCCAGTTGGTAGTTCGAACCCCACTAACAAAACTTGAGTTTGTGCAGGTTTTCAGTTTACCAGATCGATGCATGCATGCATGAAATACATGTAATAGATTATGTGTTTGTAATTGTATGTCAAAAAAATTCTAAGTAATTTGGGCATGCCAAGAGAGCTCTAACCCCCGTAAGAGAATTCGTAAAACCCTTTTTCTTTTCTTCTCTTTACTTTCCCCCTTTTTCAACTCCACAAAATTCACAAAAAAAAATATGCTGCATCAATGGAGAGACTAACAATAATTGTTTTCGGGCATACATGGTGGAGCTGAAAGAGACAAAAAATAAGCTAAGATAACAAACAAGTGCGGTACAGAGGTTTGCACTTTGCAGCCATATACAGGGCATTTTGGTAGCTCATTTCATCAAACGCAGAAATCACCACTGCAAGTCTACTTCCCACACTTTGGGCAAGTACAGAATTTCACATAGACCTCAACGATGCCAAATCCAGTAGCCTCCGGAAGAACAGATGAGGATACATGGGAGGTTGCTCCGCGAGTGCCTGCAAAATGGTCCAGAATTAACTCAGTTTTTTGCTTCCATCCCAAAGAGTTTATAAGCAATTTTAGAAGAAAAATGGAGCTTTTATGAAAAGAAACAGAAAAAAGAACTTCCCCATTTTGAGGAGTGGAAGCTAAGAAACCTCACCTGATGAATCAAAACTGTGGAAGGTGTCATTCCGGGAACCGTATTAACCTCGATGATTAGTACCTCCCCGGTGTCCGCATGAACAAATGCATCTATACGGGAGAACCCTTCTAACTGGAGTGTATTTGCTATCAGTTGAATGCGCTGTTTACACTTCTCCAAAGCCACATCGCTGATAATTGATAGTGGTGGGGGAGTCAAATTTATGCCAGTCCCCCCCTGGAATTTCTCTTCAAGTGATAAAATACCACCAGTTTCCTTCACAGTTACACTAGGAGTCAACGAATGCATTGATCCACGTTGCCCGATGACACCAACAGTAACTTCTACCCATCTACTGCGGCCTTCCCACAGCAGATCATGTTTACCTCCATTTCCCAATGATAAAATTATGTCATCAGTCTCGATGTAAGGTTCGAAGATCAAATGCTCTGGAGGAGGGTTTGGCATCTCAATGGTACCATGTGGCTTTGACAAACTATTTGGAAGAATCCGAGGAAGGCTGTCTTTCAATGCTTTTGTGTATACCTCGAGGTCCTCAGGACAGCATAATCTTGCAACTCCAGTGGAGCATCCATCTCGAGCTGGTTTAACACACAATGTTTTGGTCTGAAGTTTGGACGTCAAGTCTCGCCAACATTCGACTATGGGCCCTCCTAGCAAATCTGATTTCTTTCTAACATCTTTATTTATTGTTAAGACTCCGATATCCATAAGATTGTTAAGAGCTAGTGAAGTAGCAACTTTGTCCATGCAAATTTTTGAGGCTGCAGAGCCTGGACCAGTATAAGCAACTCCTTCATCTTCTAGCATAGACTGCAGGGTGCCGTCTTCGCCTATGCCTCCGTGCACTGCCATCAAATTTATAAACAGGAAAATTACTTGTCAAAGTCTGATTGCAGTTAGAATGTCTGTTAACCAAAAAGTCACCAGACACTATAAGTTCCAATAAGGGGAACCAAGCAGTCATTAACAAAATGGCGCAATTAGGAATCAATAGGTCCTTTATGAAGATATAATGAAGATAAACAGATGAAAACCTGCAATGAAAACTGTAGCCTGAACTTCCTTAGCTAGTTTAATCCACTGCTCCAAGGAAAATCTCTTAGGTAATTCGTCAGAAATGTCAAACCCCTTGAACCAACTATGTTTGCTCAAGCCTTCCATGAGGTCATCCATAACTTGCTTCCTTAAATGAGATGTTAGTGCCGCGCGCATAGGTTCGATTGCCTCAATACATGCATCAAGAACTTCTTCTGTGGTATGCCTAAGCACCAAGGAATATCTGCACCAATAGGAACATGATTCTCAGACCCCCCAAAAAAGGTACCACCTAATTTGGTCATCCTTGTTTGTGCGGATTCTAAAGTTGTCAAAGAAGATGTTGAACTTACGGTAATGACCATACTGTCCTTTGGGTCACTTCCACATCCTTTGCATCAGAGCTGGAGATGGAGGAATCACTAATCGTAGGTGCAAGTAAACAAGGAGTAATTTCAAGCTGCAAGTGCCAGCAAGTTAAAATAACTATTATAGGCAAAGTGAACCATCTACCTAAGTACAAAAATCATTTAGAGATCTCCAAGAGAGTATGGAAGCATGTGGAAGTGCTCTCAGTAAGGTACTTACATCATCAGAAGCTCGCAAGTTCAGCCAAACATTTGTTCCACTCATCAGAGACACTTGTCTTTCAGAAGTGTCTCCTCCGAAGATAACAAACACTTTCTGATGATTCACATGTCGCAATTCCTTTGATGATGAAGACCGTCTTCTGCTTGATGAGGTATTTGACACAATGTTGTATGTCCAAAGATTAGGAAATCGTAGACAGGCATGTTGTATTATGGTGCGCAGGATATTTGAATGTGAAAATCCAACCTAGTCATGACAAAAGAATACAGCAAGAATTAAGCATTGTAAATGAAAAAACATTTTTTTGAGATATCCCTGTACATTTCAAAACAGTAACTACTAAAACTATGTACACCAAGACCAGTACCTTTGATGCTTGCTGAAACAGGAAACTTGTTTGCTCCATTCCACTAATCTGGAAGGGGCAAATTGAGAGAAATAACACAATGTTCAAATACAAACACAAAAAAGAGTACGGGGATAACGGAACAAAGCTTTCTTACCAAATTGATATCAGTAAATAAAATTGTGCCAAGCTCAGAACTTCCAAACTTATTTCCTGGAAAATATGCGGCACGAGCAGACGGGGGCAAGTACCAACCATCAATTCTAGCAAAATCGCGCAGACCAAGCCGCTGAAATAATAAAGATGCTCCTTTGCGGATGCTTCCAATGATATCTACTGGGAATCGAGGCGGAGTGTGATATGTAACCTGTGACAATATTTCGCCAGTTAGAGAGATTCACATAAAGAAAGGATGCACATAAGTCAGATTGCAAAAACCCTCAAAAAAATTAAGTCAGATTGTAGAAAGTAGCACCAGAAAACTCTGCCCAAACTTCAAACAACAAGATTAACCAAGAAAGTTGAGATACTGAACGTATTAGCATATTAGAGCAATTGCATTATGAACCAACGCAATAGGTATAAAGCTATTGCGAAAGCAATACACCACATCATGTATGTAGATGAAATCCAGGTATACCTGTCGTGTAGGAAGGTACTTCCTCCGATAATTAAATATTGCATCTTGTTCTCTTGCATCAACATTTTCATGAGATTGAAGTTCCACCTGTTTGTAAATACATGTAAAAAATGATGATCAACACAGTCCTTAGTTAAAGAAAGTACCTTGTTTCAGATATCAGTTTTTAAGCTTATCCGGACATTCAGGTTCCGCGAAAATGACACGTGAAGGAAACAAATCTTTGAAAACCATTACCTCAGTTGGTAGTAACACAACAGGTTGGCGATCTGAACCGGAACCAACGTCAAGGACAATGGCAGTGAATTCACTACCTCCTTGAAGGAAAATTTCAATGAGGACCTTATCATCTATCCCCTGTTATTACAATTGCAAACAATTATTGATAGAATATCGGAAACCTAATGCGCCATAAGTAAAAGAGAACAACCTTATTCTGAGTCTAAATAACAGAAATGCAGAACATCTTCTTAAGTAGTTAATAACTCGCTTTTTACGGAGTACCATTCCCAGCCCCTAGCCTATAAAGAAACTGAAGCAGAAGATAATAGATTTACTTCTGATATAAGGGCATTAGCCTTTTGAAGAGCATCGGAAGCTCCATAAGCCACGGTGACTCCGATACTGGATCCTGCCCGAGTTGGCTTTACCTGAAAATCTTAGAGAAGGATTCAGCAACTAAACATTAATTTCAATCACAATCAAACATATTTGCAAGGTTTGTAACTCACCACTACTTTCCCCTGATCAGCATCCAATTGATATCTTGCAAACCAATTATAAAGCTCGGATTTCTCTGTTTCACGACCCTGAAAAAAAGGACAACAACTTTGTACAGAAAGGAGCAAATATCCTCCAATTTTTATAGGACTGGAAGCACATTTCCAGACAGTACCTGGACTAAAAAATTGGGAACAGTAGCAAAGCCTAGCTTCTCCAGCTCCAAAGAGGCATCATACTAACCAAGAAACAAACAATTCAACTGTCAGAAAAATGTTTGTTGTGGAGAGATCAATAACTTAAACTACATAAGATCACATGCAAAAAAACTATCCCTGAATGAATAATGAGGAAAATGACACCATCCTACCGTTGTATGAGGTTCCTAGTCTGAACATTTTATTGAAACTCTTTCCTAACACTAAAGGGCCATATGCATTGATCTCTTGATCAAGTTGATCTTTTTTGGGATAACTAAAAGCAACTGCGAACTTTGAAGAAGAAACATACTTTATCAAATGCTTTGCGGCACTCAGTAGACCGAGTCCCCACGAAAGGAATCTTGAATTGTTCCAGTAGCTCCTGAAAAATCAAACAGTTCGACAAAAGAAATATAGAATAACTAATTCCACATAATCACCACCATTCGAAACAATTGAAATTTTGGCAGAGAGAGTACTTGGATGCCACCATCTTCACCAAACCGGCCATGTATGACGGGAAAAACTATATCCACATTGGTGGTGAGATGCTCAGCAAACTCAGGCAGAGACTTAAAACTTTGGGCAAGACTGAAGAAGATATATTACATTGTACAAGTCAAGAAACTGTCAATCACAACAATCAAATGGACAATCAAGTTACTCTGCAGGTACCTTTCAAGTTTGAAATCAAAGTCTGCAGGAGTGTTTGAATACACCTAATCAGCAATTTCAAATAGGTAAGTTGAACATCAAAATTACTTTTCAACTAGCATATCGCTCTTCCAAAGACACTCCAGTTAAAAAACAAACCCAATTAAAAGGAACAAGAAAAAGAATTTACTATTGTATTTGTATATTCAAATGAACAGAAAATCTTATGCAGAAACCATGGAAAATCTCTTTCACTAGATCAAATCCTACTACATAAGTGACCACGATTTAGAATATTTAACATACCCGGACTAAATTCTATTATTAAGAATTAGCAAGAAAAAGGTAATTGAATCACACTAATATGTAGAAAAAGGACAACCAGAATCAAGCTCACAGAACAAACAGTTGTTTTAAAACTTTATTCTGAATAATCCCCTACCCTATCCATCCGACCCATCCACCCAAGTCCCACCCCATAGAACAACCAGTTCAATACACTTATACAACGCTTAAATATCGAGAACCAAACACAAACAAGATTGACAATTGATAAGCAGAATGCTAACCTGAGCAGAAGATATAGCATGAGCGTTGAGGTTTGAGTCGATATAGTAACAGCTTACATCTAAATCGTCTCCCTGCGCATTCAGGCAAATGGTAATAAAAATTTATAAATCCTGGCATGCAAGCTTAGTAGAGCTGTATCAAGATCAAGGCTACTTTGGTGGAATTAAAAATATGTAGCATTAGCACCAGGGGAGGGAGAGGAATAATAATAAACACTTTCTGTAAAGCTAGACGAGCCTAACTTTCCACTTGTTCAATTCGAGTTCATGGGATTCGTGATGAGCTAATATCAATCTGTCTAGTACGGCAAGTTTGATTTACTCGTACAGAACCACAAGTTCACAAACTAACGGGCAAATATAACTTCGCTAAATTTCAATTACAGTCAACAGAAAAGCGAGATTAACTAATAAGGCAAAAAATGAAGTTTAGAAATACAGACCTGGATGTGATCGAGCACTGATCTTGCGGAATTGAGAGAAATTCCACGCTCAGCAGAAGGACCTCCACAGATTACTCCCACTCTCAGTATCTTCTCCTTGTCATTCGTATAATTGCTTTTGTCCTCCACCGCCACCCTTTCTTCCAATACCGGCCGAACAATCGCGCTGCTCCATATCTTTGTCGTCAAAGCGCCGCTGCTCTTCGTCGTCCACGACGGTAACCGGGAAAATTTCGAATTTGTTTCGCGGTTGTTCCCCGGAACAAGGACGCCTCTTCTGCTGCTCCAACAATGCTCGGAGGAAGCAGCTAAGTTAGAGGACGAATAATTGAATGATGCGAGGGAATGAGCAGCCATTGAAAAATTATGAAGAGTAGTAGTAGGGAGGGGGAGTGAGTGTGTGAGTGCGTGTTGATGGTGAGTGAAACCATGGCGTAGAGTAGAGAGTTAATAAGAAAGTGACGGACGGCAGAGCCAACAAATGCGGAGTCGTCGGAAGTGCGTCGTGACGTTTTTGTCTGATGATGATTATTTCTTTATTATATTTGCATTTTGGATGGATTATCCAAATAATAATAATTGCAAGGAAACACCGTTATGTTTTGTGCTTTTCACTAAAAAACCCTTTTAAGGTTAACTTTTTGCCTTCATCCTATTAAGTTTTTTTATTCTTCCAATCTACTCCTTTTTTCCTTTTAAAAGGAACAAATTCGACCATAGCTTGCGGTGTATGCAACTGATGAAAGACTTATCCTATCTACCAGTAAAATTTTTCATACTAAACGATATGAAGATTTATTGCCCGGCACTTCGAAACTTATTAAATTAATAATATGAAAAGAAGATCATATACACATTGATTCAGAAAAATTAAAATCACCATTAGATTTTGTTTCTCTTTGCAATATTTCATACACTTTTAACTTGTTAATCTGTTAATGAGGTTTTAATAATATTTTAATGAGTTTAGACTGTTTGATGAATAGTATTCCTATTAACAAGGCATGTGGTGATGAATAATATAATAAGATTATCAATAGCTTAAATAGAAAGAAGAAAAAAAAGTAGAATTCCATCTATCAATGTAAACGATAAAATAAATCAAATTGTTTTTAGTTGCTACCTTAATCAAAATTTAATCAATCTCTTAAAATTATGTTCCTAAACTTGAATTGTGTGAAGTAAAGCTGTATGTCTGTATCATATACAATATACTCCCTCCGTCCCATAATTATTGTCCAGTTTGAGTTTTCATTTTTAGTACAAATTAAACTAAAAATAAAAATTCAAAGTGGACAATAATTTTGGGACAGAGGGATTATGTTTCTAAATAAGGAGTTTTCTCTAAAAATCTCTCTCTCTCTCTCTCTCTCTCTCTCTCTCTCTCTCTCTATGTGTGTGTGTGTGTGTAAATTTAGAGGAAAAATGAAAGCCATTTTGCATAAAAGAGAAAGTTTTAAGGTGTTTGTTTGCAATTAAGCTACATTTTTCCAGAGGCGCTTTTGACTTATTCGAATAGCTGCCGTGTCCTTTTTGTTAGATTTAATAGTGGACTTTATGGAGTTTAAAATAACCATTTGTAGAGATTCTTTCCCCAAAGAAATGGAGAATAAAAAAGTTTAAGGGATTCTTTGATCAGGTTGGATGAGCTAGCATTTTTTGTTTTTTGTTTTTTTGTCGTGTTAATGTGCTACTCACATATATCGAAATAATTGTTTGGTCATTTTAAAACAAAAAAAATATATTATGTAATTGCCCGCATTATTGAATTGGCTCACCTACGGTGCGTTTTAGCTAATTGTTAATTAGCTTTGAGAGCGGCCGTCTAAGCTTTGCTTCTTGGACTTTGTAGATATGTCTTGCCGAAGGAAAAAACAAAGAAATATAGATATCAGTCAGATCATCCATACCAACTCTCATGTTACTTACCCTCCTTGTGTTGATTGGAGGGACTGAAGAACTCCAAGAAAGCTCTCCCACTTGATTGGTTTATGTTATAATTTGTTCAGTACTCCATCGTGCTGAAAATTTATTTTGAGTTTTCACATCAGTAAAGATTGTATTTATATTAAAAATAAAAATCTAAGCACATTTAAATAGCCCCCAAGTTTGGTTAACATTTGTCACATCTAAGTTCGTCGACATATTATTGCTGTACTGATTACAACAAAGTGGGAGTACGTTTAACTTGGGCCTGGGAAGAAAATACTCAGCAATGGTTTAGGTTGGAAGAAATGTGTGGCCCAACATTTGAAACCTGACCGGATCGTCATCTTGTACGAGCTGGGCTTTGCCTCATCAACACATCTCGTCGTGATTCCCACTTAAACCTCACTGCATTTTGAAAGCTGACCAACTAATTTTGCCAAACCACTCATGAAAAATTATTCAGGGTATACTCTCCCTATAAAAGATTAAATAAATAAAAATAAATTCAGGGTGTATAAGTTGATGATTAACAATGGGCATCTACAGGCCCAAGAATGTCAAGTGATAATGGCCCATACACGTTTACACTTTACAGGGACAACCTCCAAAAGAGTTCTTCTGGAGTCAGACCCAGTGCCCCATGACAAAATTTGGTCCAAGAAACAAGCCCAACCTGCAACCCAAGCCCATGTCCCAAACAGAAGTAAGTCTCCTATGCACCCAACATCAGTAGACCCAATAGACAACATACTATCAGCCCCTATCACGCCCCAAGTTGAACCGGTGGAATCACAAACAATCCTAACACAGATCACGGAAAACATTGTCTCAAATTAGACCGGCGAAAACCTTAGTCAGTCCATCCAAACCGATGAGAGCTCTAAATACTCCTCCATTAACATCCCCCACCCCAATCCTCGAAAACCCCCAAGATCACAGCTCTCATATTTGATTGATAATTCTACGGCAACCCAACTAGACCCCAGCTCGTCCAAACCCCCAGACCCAATTCACGTCTTCCATCTTAAGCCGAGTCTGCAGATCAGAACTGGTAGAAGTACCAGACCTCCGGATCTGAGCGTGGAACCTGAAGAGGATGATGAGTTAGATGGAGAATTGGTGGTGGATGACCAACGGAGAGTGGTCGAGAATGACCACTGGTCGACCAACGACATGGAGCAACTATCGGACGCCGGTAGGTAAGCTCCCTCTTTCAACATATCTTTTAATGGATAAACGAATATTAGCGTGGAACTGCCGCGGAATCTCTAATCAATTAACGATTGATATGCTTAAAGAGAAAATTAGGCAACATAATCTTCATTTTGTTGCTTTATTTGAACCCCGTGTTAGTGGACCCGATGCGAATGTTATTGTTAGAAGTTTAGGAATGGACAATTCCCATAGGATTGAATCAGTTGGATTTTCAGGTGGAATTTGGCTTTTATGGCGAAATTCTATTTCTGTAGAGATCATTCACAATGATTGGCAATTCATGCATGCTAACGTATGTTTTCAGGATAACTGTTCTTTCTGTTTTACCACAGTATACGGTAGCCCGCAAGCGCTAAACAAACGTATACTGTGGGATAATCTGAGCGTTATTTCAGGTATGATAACAGGGCCGTGGCTCATACTTGGAGACTTCAACGCTTTCACTCATGAAGCGGACAAAGTGGGGGGCCGCAAGTCCAGGGATGTCATCGCTTCCGTGAATGGATTCAAAGAACAACGTTGAACGATCTGGGATTTCAGGGTTCTAGATTTACATGGAAGGGAGGTGTAGTCCACGAACGAATCGATTGGGCGTTGGTAAATGATACATGGGAGGAATTTTTTGAAGACACAACGGTCAAGCATCTTCCAAGGGCAGCTTCAGACCACTCTCTCCTACTGGTCAGTTTCAAATCAAAGGGGTGCAGTGTGGGGGGAAGGACGTTCTTTAGACACCTAATGGCATGGGAAGCTCACGATAGGTGGGAAGGTTGGCTGTCGAGCAATTGGAAATCAAATCTGGACTTTCCGGATGCACTTAGCCAGCTCACCAACTCTTTAGATGAATGGAAATATGATATTTTTTGGGATATCAATAAGAGGAAGATTCGCCTTACAGCTAGACTCGGGGGGATTCAAAAATTCCTCGCTCTATGCCCGTCAGCTAGTATGCGAAATCTTGAGAAGTCCCTAAGGGAGGAATATGAATCGACAGTCACGCAAGAGGAAATTCTTCGAGCTCAAAATTCAAGAGCAACATGGCTGGTGCAGGGGGATCGTAACACGCGTTGTTTTCATGCTGCTTACAAGAGCAGACACAAGGTCAAGGTTAGGGCCATCCAGTTGGAATCAGGGGAATGGTGTTCAGATCAATTGAGGCTAAGTACAGAAGCTACAAACTTTTTTCGAGAAGTGTACACTGGATAAATGACGGGCAACATGTTTTATGCGATGAGGGGCCATTTTCCTGCTTTTTCTAAACGTGAAAGGGCTATGCTTTCAAGGGAACTTTCTGATGAGGAGGTTATCATGGCAGTTAAGGAGATGAACAAATTCAAGGCTGGTGGAATCGATGGGTATACCGCAAGTTTTTTCCAACATAATTGGAAAACGGTTGCAGGGTCAGTTTGCAATCTTGTTCGGAAAACATTTGAAAGCGGCTATGTTGATCAGAGAATTAATAAGGCGTTGGTTGTGCTAATACCCAAGGTTAAGAACCCTGGGAGGTTTTCAAACTTGCGGCCAATTAGTTTAATCAATGTGGCTACCAAAATAATTTCAAAGGTAGTTGCTAAAAGGCTGCCAAGAGTTATGGCAACACTTGTACTCCCAACGCAGTCGAGTTTCATTCCAGGTCGGAGTATTGTGGATAACATAGTGGTGGCACAAGAAGTAATTCATACAATGGGAGGAGAAAAGGGCAGGAGAGGATGGTTGGCCCTCAAGATTGACCTAGTCAAGGCATATGACAAGATCAGTTGGGAGTTCCTCGAAGATACGCTGGAGGATGCATGCATTCCACTAGTGCTGAGAAGAGTCGTAATGAGTTCATTGCACATGGGCACAACAAAAATTTTGTGGGAGGGAATCATTGGTTTAGAATTTAGGCCTAACAAAGGGGTCCGACAAGGAGACCCGGTGCCTCCCTATCTCTTTGTTCTCGCAATGGAGTGACTGTCACAAGCCATTAATATCCAAGTAGCCAATGGCAGATGGAAACCTGTTAGATTCGGACCTTATGGGGTGCCGGTGTCTCACTTACTCTTTGCCGATGATCTAGTACTGTTTGCGGAGGCCAGCATTGATCAAGCTTCTGTAATCCGAGAAACGTTGGAGGAGTTCTGTATGGCATCAGGGCAGAATATCAGTCAAGACAAGTCAGTGCTTTATGTTTCTCCAAATGTGGCCATGGAGGATGCCGACGAGTTGAGCAA